AAATATATATTTTAAACATCCGGGTTTTAAAAGATATTTCATTGCTCCGAATTTTCTTCTTAGGCTTAATACATTTAAATGGGCAAGTCTAAAGTTCAGTTTTTATTTATTTAAACTCATTTACAAAATAACTGCATATTTTTGTAAAAAAAAATTGTAGATATCTTAAGAAAGTCGTACTAATGTTAATTTTACAATCCAGGAATCTAATAGAAATGATAAATTTTAAGCATATATATTAGATAAAATCCGCAACAGCGAAAATTTGGTAAACCAAATTTTGTGTCTCAAACATCATCAAATATGTAAAATATTAATTTTATAAATTTAATTTGGAAAGCAAACTTACTTAGAAATTAAACAAACGTTTTGAAAATGAATTTTAAAAAAATTCAGTACATTTGAAGTACCATTTGTAACAACATAAATATATTTTGAAATAATGAAGAATGAACTGAAGAATTCACCTATATATCTTTGCATAATTCTGTGTTCTAGCACGTTGTTTGAATTTTCTATAAATCCTTAAATCCTGCTAAAAGAGGAAAAGACAAAATATCTTTTAAGCTGAGGGCCTTTTTTTCTTCCCTTCGTCATTTTTTTCTCTTTCAAAGAAGCAGCTAAATGACAACTGCAGGATCCTTTTGCATGCTGCTACTTTTTCTTGTTTTCTTTTTCTTGAAGAGTATTCAATCACTGCTTCTGGAGAGCTGAAAGAGTCGACAGACAAAAAGAAAGAAGAAAGACATAACGAGCTTTTTAGGAAACTGACAAGACGGTGCTCCATTTTTTTTATAATTTTTTTTTGTTCACTACGTATGTCAGTAATCGAAGCATCTGAGTACGGCACATTTAATCAAATCTTAAGAAAATGCAGCTTTTATATGGTGAAAAATCTAAAAGGAACTATGCGGTGGACTTCCTTTTATCCCTTTCTTTGTTTAAATCCATGAGAAATATTTTATTTGTAATGAAATTTTCCCTATATTTGTCTTCTCATCAGTATCATACTTAGTATTTAGCTATTGAGGTAAAGTTTTTTTTTCGTTAAACTTTATTTTATTATGAAATACTTCTCTGACAAAGGGCCTTATTCTTAATATTTTTAGAGATACACATATTTAATATGTTTTTATCCTTATTACTTTTTTTTCCTTGGAAAATAATTCTCGACGTAATAATATTTGATTATGGAAACTAATAATTTTTTTAATCTACGAACAACAGAATTCATAAAAGGTTTTCCTTACATGTGTGCAATCATTATCTTATTATGTTTTATTGATATCCTTTATGACAAATACATATTTTTATTATAAGCAGTAGGTGTTTATTTCCAAGATATGTTTTTATAGTGCATAATTCAGATTTCTAACCTATTTCAATGATCATAATGACAAGCTCCAAATGAAGTCTTTTTAAGCTCACTATCAACAATCTGGTATCTCACAACATTTGTAATTCATTGTAGAACTAATATGTTTATGAAATATATTAAATATATAAATACTTTACTTTTAAATCAATATTGTTTTTATTTTTTGTCATATACTATAATTATTTGAATTTCAATTTTTCCTAGCGAAAAAGATTATCAAATTTAGATTACGATGGTTCAGTAGTAGATGCAGAAATACAAGATTATCCTTCTAAAAACAAGCGTTTTACATCATTTGTGCCGTTTTCGGAAAATAATTAAGTAAAGAATATAATATGTTTGTTGCTATCGAAAAAGGTAACTTCTGTATAAATAACACATCTTTATTTAACAGAATAAATTCATTAAAAAAGCAATTTCCTAGATCTAAAGCATTCTTAATTGAAGCACAACAAATTAATAAGAGAAATATTTTTATAACTTAAACATTCACTTGTATGTAATTTTTTCTACTGATTTCTAACCAATCTCCCTTTAGAATTTTATGTTTTGCTGTTTCTCTTCATGTAATAATTCAAAACTAAAAGTGTTTATTAGGATGAGGGAATTTTGCACATTTTTCTTTCGTCCACTATACCCAGAAAAAAGTTTCTTTCTATCTAGAGGTTGGTAAAAAATAAATTGATAAGAAAACTATATTCCTCTAACACAGCTCAATTATAGTTTTAAAAATAAAAGAAAAGTAATTAATATTATTTTATAGCTGTTTTCTAATGTAACCAACAATTATTATTTGATTGGCATATCGTTTTACTTTGCTTGAACGTGACGAAGAAAGCTATAAAAGTCTTTAGAGATATTGCAACTATCCTACCAAATCATATACTGATGTAGTCTTAGATTTGAAGTTGAGTTTTGTGCCGTTTCCAATGCCACCAGATCGATATGGTGTTTGATCGTATTCCTACGAAATTCCTCCCGTCAAGAGGATATACGTCTGTCGTCAGCCCCAGCTTTAAGCACAAAACATGTGACAGTACGATTTGACTCGGTTCCACCGCAATTTTAAGAGAGAACACCTTAGCGGTGATCAATTGCCTCCCACATCTCCTTCCCTTTCACTAACTTCTCAAGAGGACTTGCTTCTCTACTAATATTTAGTATCTTAATGCCGCGTAGGAACTGCACATTTACAAACACAGTCATGCCTACTCCAGGATTCTAACCCAAACCCTATATTATCGCAGTCAGCGTCATTAGCTAGTATACCGGATAGGTGGATGGTATTTCTTGTGAAGTGAAGTTTTTAGGAGAGTTTTTCCTAAAAAGTGCTCAATCCTTAGATTTCAAATAAAGCTTCATTTCTCTAAATCCGTGAAATCTGATGTATAACGCTCACCTATAATATTAAATAGTGTTTTTAATTTTTAGGTATATTTATGATATAACGAGCAGTCCATTTTTATACGAAGCCTGAAATATAAGCGTGAAATGCTTTTATACATTTAAGTCATTTATTTATGGTATTATCCCAAACTCTACAAAAAAGTAGTGTACTTTTAAAGTACTACAACCATTTAAATTCATATGGAATTATTTTTTTTAGATAATAATTTTTCAATATATGTAGAATTCTAATTATTTTTATTCTCTTCTTTCTTTTTATTTTTTACCCTTAACTTCCCACTGTTGCATTTCTGCAACATATGATTTATTTTAATTTAACATACTCAATATTTTTTTAATTACCTACAAATCACTTATCTGAGAAGAAAGATTACTGCAACGAAATACATGCTAATTTATTCACTAGATGGAAGTACATTTTTTCAGAAATCACAACAATTATAAAAATCTCTAATGGCTCAAAAACTGTGTTTTTTCTATAAAAATAATGCATTATATTTTATGCTTCATCTTGTTTATTGATGGAATAAATTACTAGGTAAGAAATTTAAACATTTTATGATGAATAATAAAATCCTCATATAAAAAATGTTTTGTAATTTACAGACTACTGTGCAACGTTGCATTTCCGCAACAAACAAAAAAATGATTGGAATTGAATTTAAAACATCTTAATTTTTATATATATATTTTTCCCTTTTATTATTACTTGAGAACTAGCTGATATAATTTTTTCATAGAAATTAAAAAAAAGTGGGAAGTTAAGGGTTAAAGCTCTTATTTTTATACTCGGATCCTTAAATTGCATTTTTTTTGGCGTTAAGTTTGCTCATTATACGCCAGATTTTACGGTAGTCTTCTTTAATTTGCAATTATAGCAGGAATACGTTTACAAAAAATAAAAAAAGAAGGTTTTTCGTTCAATCACTGGCTTGATAAATTTTGATTTAGATACCACTGTTTCTATTGGCCTCAAAAGCTGTCTATGTGTCATGTGAGAAATTCTTCAATTCACACTACCTCTTTCAATTCTATATATCATATAGGCAAATAACTTTTCAAAAACGAAATATGTATCAAAGTCTAAAAATTCATGAATACGCTTTTCTAAGCTGATATATACTCTGAAAAGTCTATTTGCATCCCCAATTTATGACTTTTCACTATCTTATCCTCCGATACAGACGATTTCCAAGCATTAACTCTAGGCCCTTTTTTGATAGGAAAACTCATAAATGCTATCTCTAAACTGATATAAGTGATAAAAAGGAGTAAATAAATAATAAATTCTTAATAAATGGCAGAAAACTCAAATATGTCTTCAAACAATGTGGAACCGCTCACAAATCAGTCATTTGAGTAATTTACAACAGCACACAAAATAGGTGTTTAAGAAACCCAATATTGAGTCTTCATATTCAGCGTACTCAGATGAATAAATCCGAGGAACTTAGAATTGCCCAAAGTATTATCTCTAGGCTTCGCCAACGATTCCACACACACAAGATAGCAGAAACGTCATTAGACGTTACACAGTACAGATCAATCTCTTGTGTAAAGCCGAATGAAGACTAAAATTTGACAGTTACTGTAAGAAGAAGCAGACGGAGTAGAGCATCCAACCCGTCTATATCAACAATACTCAACCTATGACTCTCGGGCCGCACGTGGCCCATCGGACCTTTCTGAGTGGCCTGGTCATGGCCTGTTGCTCTAATAAATTCAATTATTTAAGAACAATGTATTAAAAATGTACGGATACATTTTATAAATCTTGCTTTAGTCGCGCTGGTACGAATTGTGAGATAACTTTTTCTATTTTTGAAGTTATAATTCTTTTGGGGTGATTGAGAAATAGAATGAGGGTAAATTTTTACAATGAGTGCGCACGCCGTCACGGATCTGACGCACACCGTCAAGGATGCGAAAGCGCTAGGTCTAGAAATATACAGAATGGGACAGATCATTCCCGCCCTCGAAATCTCAGAAAAAATTTTCTCTACACTTCTCTGAAAAAGAGGACACCCGGGTTTGAACCCGAGACCTCTCGATCTGCAGTCAAATGCCTTACCATTGAACTATACACAAACGCTAGGGAACCTTTGCTTTGTGTTCCGTAGGAACGGATACGAAAATGCTTTGTCTAGGAATATACAGAACGGGACAGATCATTCCGGCCTTCGAAATCCTCAAAAAAATATTTCTCTTCTTGCCCCTGAAGAAAAGGTTACCCGTGTTCGAACCGGGACCTCACGATTTCAAGTCGAATGCTCTACCACTGAGCTATACCCCACGTCAGCTGACCTTTGCTTTTCGTTCCATAGGAATGGATTCGAAAATGCTTTGGTTAGAAATATGCAGAAAGGGACAAATCATTCCCGCCTTCGAATTTCTCAAAAAAATAATTTTCCTCACTTCCATGAAGAAGGGGGCACCCGGGTTTGAACCGGGACCTCTTGATCTGCAGACGAATGCTCTACTACTGAGGTATACTCCCTGTGTCTGCGAACCTTTGCTTTGCGCTGATTTGTGACGTCATTACTAGTAGGGAAAGATCGTCCTTCGGTTACGGAGCTTTCCTGATGCATTTGTTTGAACACTATTTGTTATTAAACCAAACATACTTACGTGAAATTAAAAATAAATAAATAAATAAATAATAAATTAATCGTAAAATTTTGTTTCATGCACATAAAACATAAGCCAATTGACACAATTCCAAGTATATAATTATAAATGTATTTACTACGAACGCATTGCGATGAACATAAACACATTTATTTCACTGTAGCAAATTATAAAAGCCTTTTGTATTCGTATATTTATTTTTGAAGTTATACTCCTTTTTGGGCGTTAGGGAAAAAGGATGGGGGTAAATTTGAACGATGTGTTCTCATACCTTCACGACACCGATGCAGTAGTGTAATATTTTAACATGCCAGTTTTTTAGTGCTATGGGACTGATATTTGGGGGATCATAATAACTATTGTTGTAAACCATATCTGTTGGGACGAATCCCCCCCCCTCCCGTGTATTCCTCCCTCTACAGCTTTTTGCCCAATATCTCGGCACCCGAGCCTCACAGTCCATTCGGACCTTGCTCATTCGATCCCTCTACATCTGTTCTTCCAGTTATTATAATTTCCTGTTCATAGGGCTATTTCTTCCGTTTTTAATTGCCTTAAACCTTTTAAATTTGTATAAATTCACAATATCTTGGCTCGTGTTCGAGTCTCGGACTTGAGATTTGAACCATGTGTTCTACTCTTCGAGACACATCCAGTCATCTGCTTCATTCTCATTGTGAAGCAATGGGGAGTGCTTAAGCACTATAATATCATGCTCCCATGTTAATCCTATGGGGACTGGATAATGTTCACCCCCCTTAAGGATCTGAGTTTGGAACTTGATTTTTGGAGGTCCACCATATTTTCGTACGTGGAATTGGCCCCCTCACACCTACAGGGCTTACCCAGATATAACTCGAATCCTATGCCACTTTGATCAACAGCTGGATTCGATTGTTCTTCCTATGAGCATCCTACATATATTTTTTCAGGACCATAGCCCCATTTCTTCTCCCATATATAACATCTTAAATTTATTTTGGTTATAATTTTTTTTTAAATCCAGCATAGCTCCGAGGAATTTTGAGATTCGTTAATGAAACTCGGACCATAGGTTCCCCTCGTTAAGCTGCTTCATCTGTTATAATTCGTGTGTAGATAGTGGGCTTAGTAAGGAGGCGTTATCACTAAAATTAGAATCCCCATGTTTTTCCTATGGGTTTCGATTTTTGATGACGTAACAATATTAAAGAGATAGAAGAATGAAACATTGGGATCACCTACTACTCTGTGTATCGTTGGGATGTACGTGACTATTTACGTTACAGTTATTCCCCCCCGGAGGGGAGCTAATTTCGTTTTACTTTCCCGAGCTAGAGCCGCCCCATTTGCAACTATAAACTCCGTACCGGCTCTACTGGATTACTCTTGTGTTTGATCACAACCAGTTTCAGGATCGAATTGCCGGGTTTCCTGCTTCTATTTTATTTAATTGTTTTAAATATTTTAATTATTTTAAAATGACCATAATTCAGGGGCTGTTCTGGTGGATGTCTTAATTTTCTCAGGAACAATTCTTCCCGCCGAGACATACAATATGAGGGCTCAGTTGTCCCGTTCGGTTCACTTCATCTCCAGATACAGTCTGATACCCCCATGTTATTGATTATATTGTCCCTTTGCGGGGGTGTTTGAATTTATTTAAATCAGGACTATCTCAGGTTTGGCTGGTCCGATTGACTGAAGGTTAGTATCGTTCAACTCTGCTCTTAACTGCCTTTCGTCCTTGGCCCAGATTGCCCTGCTAAAGAGTTTTAGAAAGATTTTAATCCTATTACGCCAAAGAAGCATAACTTCTTACGTCCGTACATAAGTACACCCACACTTTTTTTTTGACTAAGTTCGTTAGGATTTAATATAGTTTTAAAAAATGAAAAGCAAAATAACTAATATTTTCATCACTTTTCCGCATTTTTAAATGCTATTTTAATATCACCCCCACCCCCATTAATTCCCATGTCATGGACCTCCGGAAATAGTTGTCATATATATGTGGCCCGTCGGAAAAAAAGGTTGAGTACCACTGGTCTCAACCTTTAAGGCTTCTCAGATGTGCTCCACTCACGACAACTCACCGTTTACAGTGCTTAGCCTGGAGCAAGTAACACGCAATGTGTGTGTGTTTGTGGTTGCGCGTGTAGATATCATTACAGTTGGTTTCGTTATTTTTTCCGACGAGTCCAGGTTTAGCTTGAAGTCTAATTCACGTCGGACTTTCATATGGAAAACAACAGGTGCCCGTTACCTCCTAGACAACATTATTGAACTGCTCCGTTACGGTGTTGCAATATTGCTCATTTGGGTAAATTATATTGGGATCCAGAATAGATCGGCATATTCAAATCGAAACCATTAAATGTCAAATTTATAGGGATATCATTCTGTGAAACAACATTTACGTTTGCTTAGAGGGGCAATGAGCACAGAATTTGTGTTTTTGTTTGGCAAGGTCCTTCTTCTCCAAACAAACATTGTAAAGAAATGTCTTCAATCTGAGTTTTTTACCCCAATAGAATGGTCAACATTCTCACCATAGCTAGCATCCAGAACAGCATGTGTGGCACATTCTAGATCAATTAGTTACAGATCTTCAAACACCTCCTAGATATGTGCCTTAACTTCGGAGAGTATTCCTTGCTGAAGGGAGTAATTTTCCCCAAGATCAGCTCAATAATTTGATATTCAGCATGCCTAGGTGCTGTATGAACTGTCGGACTATATTTCATTTAATGTGAGACACACAATGTATTAACTAACATATCAACCGTGTAATATTAAGTTTTTATAAAGGGAGTATTTCTTGTGTAATTTCTCGAGGGTGCAAAAATCATTGTTATTATGTACAATGTCACACATACGCCATCTTGTTTTGCTCTTTATTTATTGTTTAATAAATGAGCTTTATGAATAAGTCACGTTTGTTCTGTTTCTGAAACTTTATTTCTCGGAACAGACATTATCCTTGATTTATGGACATGACTGTAATAACATGTACTGATTAAGTATCTTAAACTTTGTATTCTAGCACACAGATTATAAAAAAAATATTATAACTTTAAAAAAAATCATTTGTGTATGATCGAAAAAATGTGTCAAAATGCACAATTTTTTTTCATTTTATTATTTTTTTAAACTTGCTTAGTATTCTTAATACACTTTTCGAAGAACCAGTAGAGGGAAAAAAAATTTGTATATCATGGGAAATCTTCGGAATTAGGGAAATGCTTACAACTTTAACTTTCTCGGAGTTTGCTCAGACAACTTCTTTAAATACGTTGGGAAAATCAGTTAACTTCCTTTTCACTGAAATCTTTGGAGGCCACGGTAGCCTAGTGGTCAAATTACGGACTTGTGTGTGTGTGTGTGTGGCTGGCGTGTCATGAGTTTGAAGTAGTGCCTATCCGGAGGACAGAGCCCACGACCTTCGGATCCGTAAGCACGTAACATAACACTAGACCAAAATGATCACTTTAGTCGAGTGGATGTTACTGGCTATAGATGATACCACTACATACTCCCCACTAATGAGTCGGTGGCTAGAAGAACGAACGATATGGTTGTTATTGCGAGCGTGTGAGTTGTTGCTGTTAACTGGAGGAATTGCGTCACGTGAGTCTGACGAGTTTGATTTTTCTGCGTCAAGTCTGACGAGTTTTGGGTTGATATTTAAGCGGGAAGATGACGCCACGATAGTTTAAAACGTTATGTTTTTTTAGTTCAGACAGGATCTCTAATGAGGGAGAGAATTTCTTTATTTACATGCAATATTAAAGATTAAATCAATCTGTAGTAAAAGCTACATTGCATGTACAAATAGCAGATATCAATGGTTAATTAATTACTCGTTGGGGAAAATGTAAACAGAACACAATAAAACGGTGAATCAAAGTTGAATAATTAAGTAGCTGAAGGTTGAAGTTGAGTAGTTTTTGTCCTTTCTCTGTAGTGTGAATATTGTTGTAATATGTCGCCACAAGTTCAAGCCCAGTACCACTTAAGACAAGCAGTGTAGGGGAGCGATGCACGTTAAATCTCTCAAGAGCTCAAACGTCCTCTCGTTAGTGTGGTTGTTAGGAGCGGTGGTGCCAGCTCAGGTGTCGTCTTCGTCACTTGATCATGGTTCAAAATTACGAGGTCCGTCGCCAAAAGCCTTCGTGTAGCTGAACATTGCGACGTTAATATTCACTCACTCATACTGAAATATTTGTATTTAGTACGCAATTTCGCTTGGATTACATTTTAAATGTCTTTAATCGAATAAGATGAATCTAGTCGATGATCATGTGGAAATACAAAAGTATAAAATGTATCTCTCTAATGTATTCAGGCTTCTTGATCCACTCCATTTTCTTCAAGCTGTCAGGAATCAGTGAAAATCTCCAGAATATAATTTAACATCCTTCAATACGTGGTAGAAGAGAACCTCTTTCCTAGTGGTTTTATTCTTTTTTTAATAATCTACACATAAAAAGTCAGTTCGTTTCTTGTACAAGAGTGATGCAAGATGACTCCCTGAAACATTTTTCTATTTCTTCATGTAATATGCATGTTTTAGTTGGTGATACACGATAGGATTTTTAGATTAATATGTTTGTAAGCACAGATATTATTTGGTAACTGACTTCCATCGAAAACGCTATCACTTTTTTTGTTTCAATGAAACCC